GGCTCTGAAGCGGGCCTGATGAAACACCCAGAAATATTTGAAGTGTCGCCACCGCCATCAGAGACAATGCCGATCCCACCAAACGGACATAAAAATACGGAGGATTTAAGCCACAGCCGGTCGGATAAAAAGTCAATCGCCAGTGGTGCCACTATAGAGCAGTCAGGTACAGTTTGTATTTTTGGCCGTTTAAAATATTTTGAGTAGTAGACTTACCCTTAAAAAACGTACGGACTGGATGCATGGGCTGAATCTTTGCCAGCTTAGTTCTCCCGGAAGGAAATCGTAATTAAGTGGTTGTTTTGAAATTAAGACATAATTTTATCCTAGTGTATAAGTAAAAAGGATTATGGTAACTAACTTTCTACCCTTGTATGCCTGTAAGGATTATAGTAATTAGCCATAAAACCGACATCGTTTTTTCATCACTAGCTGAACAGTCAAGATTTCAGTTTCGTAAAAAGCCAGTGTTATTCGTAATCAGTAAATAGTTAACCTTCTATTTTGTCACGAACAGAGCCCTTTTCTGCAACTGATTTTGCTCTAGAATGAAGTCAGATTATTCATTTTTACTACCTCCGGATCCTTCGAACCATAACCCCTTACACTACCGGATTTCCTACTTCACTCAATACCTTGAACATTTATATCTGCCCGTGTCAGAGAAGTACATATCGCTACCTACTGTTTAACACTTTTTATATCCAGCTCGCACTTTTTCATTTTTTTAATCAATTTTGGCCGGCTTTTTGCGGGACTTCCGCAAAATCTTTTTACCTCACACTCCTCCCTTTCCTTTAAAAGATGCGAAATCGAATCGTGCATTTTTTTTCAGGCGTTCAAACGACAACGAAACCGATTCAGGGCCTTCAGCTCATGCCAATGTCTATAATACCATCTCGACCACCCAAAAAACTTCGGCCGCTCAGGAGGGTCGATTCGGTGTAGGCTTCCACTTCATCAGCAATGCGAACCCCCGTGCCTTAATGCTCCTCGATGTGTGTGTATTACTTTTTAATAAATTTACTTTGCTAAATGTAAGAAGTCAGGCCAATGCAACGAGAAATGTTCATCAACTACTAAAACGTTCGTCCAACTAAATAAATGCTAAGTGGTGTCACAAAGTTCCAGTAAGAAATTTATCCACCACTCAGCAGCCAATCATTTTTGTCACCCAGAAAATCCAAGAAAAACTCACACTATTTCAGAACTTACTAAAAAATAGGACTACTGGTGGTATTGAAGGCTGAGGCCGAGGTCCTGGTTTTCCTACATCCCACAGGCTCTGAATTTTTCAATATCGGATCTAGCGTTTCCACGAAGACGAAATTATTTTCAACTTCTCACCTAAATCTGCTTCTTCCCGAAAACAACATGTTCTGGATTTAGCTCGTGCTGTGATCCCATCGAAATGCTTGCTTAACAACATTTATTGAACAACAAATATGAGGCACAAAAACAATTTTTACTGCACTCAGTCAAAAAGACCAAAACCCATGTCCTCATCGGACTCCTCTTTCGGCTCTTCCTTCTTTTCTTCCTTTGCCTCTTGTGCTGCAGCTGCTGGCGCCGCTTCTGCTGCTGGAGCACCTCCGGCTGCCGGTGCACCACCGCCGCCACCAACACTTGTACTGATGTTCGTTATCAACGCCTGGAAAAGAAAATCGTGAAAGTTAAAATTTCGATTGACTAAAATTCCACTTCCTTCTCGAAACCGTGAAATCCCCTAAAGGAACTTCACAACGGTCCATAAGTGGCAAATTTCTGACTAACCGTTGCGGGCAATTAAGAAAGCTTGGTTAGGTCCAGTGGCGCAATATGCACTTTTTCTGTGCCGCGGAGGTTCGTAAGAAGAGGAGGGAAAGGAGCTAATATCTTGCTTGGAGGTAGGAACTGGAGACGAGTGCAGAGAGCATGGGTAGTACGGGTTAATGATGCTAAGCAAGAACTAGATGCTGAGTGGGAGCTAGCAAGTCTGTGCTGGCATTCCAAAATTTCATCTAAACAAAAAACTCGGTGTTTCGATTGAATTCCGCAACTTCACAAACTCACAAACATAGGCAGATCTAGAGCGGCCTCTCGGGAGGGGGGGAGGGGGGGCGGCGGAAGGGGTGAGGGGAGGGAGGGAGGAGGGGGGGGGGGGGG